GTTTTCTTCTGAAATGAATGATTAGTTGAGAGACACAGTTGACCTTTGAAACATTAACTTTCCTTAAACTGAAAGTTTATTTTGTTTATTTTGAAATCACAATGACGACTTAGCATAGCCTGTTCTGACTGTATCAATAGAGATGATCCAACACACACATCACCTGCACTGCTGCAGGTCTTACACAAACAGCCGGTGAAGAGTACTTTTTACTGCAGTGACCCTCTGAAACACTGCAGCCTCCACAGCTCAGCGTCAGCAAAGCTCAGCCAGCCATGAATGGAGAGGCTGCCCTCAAGTGGACAGAAATAGATATGGCCTGTGATAACCGGCATAACACCTGATCATAACCACAGAACCAATTCAAGCCTAAAATATGCCTGGAAAAATCTATACGCATAACATGCCAATAAGTGATTGTTACTGAAAAAGGAAAGCTTCTCACGATTGTTGGCTAGATTAGTGTAAATGTAAAAGGTTAAGACCTTTCATTGCTTACGTATGGTAATAGTGCTCCAATTTCTGGGAGCAAAGCCACTCCTGGAAAGCAAAGTCTCGGAGCAGCTGGATGTGGGCCTCCTCAATTTCCCTCCAGCGCTGCCGTTCCTTCACCACCTCTTCCAGGCGACTTAGTACACTCAGGCTCAGTTCCTCCAGTGACTGTACATCTGGATGACACATGAACAGCACATACAAATACTCAATTACATACCAGCCAACAAATCAGCATTAGTAATGCCCCAGCACAGGCTTAAATACTCTCTCTTAAAGTCTATAATAAAGTGTATTAAAGCCTGAGCTGATTGTCCGTGCATACATGCATCTCGTAATCCTGAATGTTTAAAACAAAAATGACCAGGGTCAAAGCAATAAGCAACACTATCTCCTTGCGTTAAACATAGTTTAGATCCAGTTAGACATGACACTTATTCATGGTATTCCTGCAAAGCTCTAAAAGCTAATGGTTAGAGAAACTGTTCCAACCAAAGTTTCAAGTATCATAATCTGTCTTGCAGAAGTAACCTTGTGCGGGTTACCTTCAACGTCAGACCATCAAATAAAGGCCTAAACTGTAATGGCCATCTAAATATATCTCAAATGGAGATATGACTGTAAGCAACTGACCTTCAAATAAGTGCCTGTATTGAGAGAGGCTATGTCCTTGGAGCCATTCCTCAATTTTACTCTCTTTTCCTTTCTTCCAGCGCACTTCCCAGAAGAAGATCCACAACACCGAGCAGAGGAGGAAGGTCAGGAAGAAGCGGCGGTCCATCAGACCATCTTTCAGCCTTCACTCAGACCCCTCCGTGCTCAAGGGAAAACTGCCACTCACCAGGGGACTTGACAAGTTTCCTATAGTTGGAGAGAAACTGCTTAGGCTCAAACCAGTTTGACTGAAATACATTTACAAAAAGGTTTTTAATAATTGGATTTAAAGAGGAACATTGGTCAAACAGACAGGATGCCTGAGGTGGTTTACAATAAACATGCTCAGCCAAGAAAGCATGAATATTTAAGTGACACCTTGGTGTTGGCTGATGGGAGAATACCATGTAATCCCCAGCACTGAAATATGCATGAACAACTTGGCTGAAGAATGGTCATAAAACTCTCCCCAGCCTCTTATAGCCCGGACCAACTGTCAACGTCAAAGAAACATTGACAGTCTCAGTCACAACCAACAACAGCTAGATGTTTGTGATGGTAACGATGAGCTGCCTGGTAGTAATAGCTCAGGTGTCATAACGTTTCCAAGTGTCATCCGCTGCCACTGGTACAAACAACCACAAAGCGTTATAAATAACCTGTCGAAGCGGTCAGTTGTACCGTACAGTTTCTTAAACGTAGCTTAAAAAAGGAAAAAAACACCGGGAGCGGAACACGCACAGGCTAACTGCAATGTAATCAATTGTCTCTGGTCTATTGTCACCTGCAGCGCAAGGTAAAGGTGGAGGATAATGCTAACAACTGTTAGCACTGTGCCAACAAGCTGCTACAGTAGTTGACTAGAAAACGACAGCGAAATGCTAACTAGCCAAGTTAGCCAACAATGTCAGCGTCATTTCAGAAGCTGCTCGCCAAACCATGGAGGTTATCAAAATGCACACCACAACACGTTCATAAGACATTGCATGCAATAGTACTCTAACACAAATAAAAACGGCTAATGAAAACTTTCATTTTATGTAAATAAAGACAGTCTTTACCTTCGTCTGATGGGCATTAGCCTAGCAACCGGAAAATGCGCAGAAAACGTGTCGATTACTGATGACGTCTATAGTAAACGCATCGACAACACACGAGGGGAAGGGGAGAAGATTTCACTCAGATCTGTGGACTAACATTTTAACCATGGTATGTCATATGTATATGTTATACAGTAACATCAAGACTGTACTCATAATACTTATCTATCAAAGTATGTTATGTGTTATTACTACATTGGCGTCGAAGCTTTTATAGCAGGCAAGCTCCTGAGCTAGTTTAGCTAGCCTAGCCTATCTAACGTAAAGTAGGCTAACAGGTACGCCAGCTGCAGAAAGAAATAAGCGTTTAAATATATCTTTACTTTTATCAATGTAAAGATCTTGGCCACAACATTAAATACATGTAAGTGTTAGTTAATTCTCCTAAAACCATGATACGTCTGAGTTAATTGTTCAAGGTTTAGCTAACACATGCAGTGTTTGTTTTGTTACTTCTTTAGCTCTCGTTATACAAGTCAACGTGCTGTCTAAAAACTGCTTCAGTAATGACATTACAGTTTAGTTAAGTGTTTATACAAGGAAATGTTACGCTGAGAGACGTTGTTGATAATGCTGTGTTCAATCAACAAAGTGCCTGTGTTATGAGGTTGACTCAAACCCTCCACATACACAACAAGTCAATTGCTGCTGTAAAAGCTTTATGTAAAAGCTTTATTTGTTGGTTGTAATATCTTGATTTTAATCAATTTCTGTGTTTGTACTTGTCTAACCTAGGGGAAGCAGAAAACGAAGAAGTTTGCTGTCATGAAACGAATGATCAATCTGAAGGATAATAGACTGTGAGTTTTAATAATGTCTCTGTCTTCTAGCCACAGTTAACAAACGTATTGATCACCCATCACAATGTTATTAATACAGCCAAGTATGCATACCTATTTAACATAACTTGTTGTTTTTTCAGAAAAGATAAGGACCGGGCTAAACCAAAAGAGAAAAAGAAGAAGGACCCCTCTGCACTCAAGGAGAGAGAAGTGTGAGTTGGCTATAACATATTTAATTACTATATGAAGAACTTTTGGTGGGTGGCTCCTTAACTTGATTTATTTTAACTTTTTGTGCAGGACAAAGTACCCATCCTGCCTGTTCTTCCAGTACAACACGCAGCTTGGTCCACCATACCACGTTATAGTCGACACCAATTTCATCAATTTTTCCATCAAAGCCAAACTGGACATTGTTCAGTCTATGATGGATTGCCTGTATGCAAAATGTAAGTACTATTGCCAAGTGCGTAATGGACCCGTTCCTCCAACAAATTCTTATATACAGTACAATGATTCAAAAACGTTCCTAATCATTCTTTTCCCCTCTGCAATGTTATCCAATCCAGGTATCCCATGTATCACAGACTGTGTGATGGCTGAGATTGAAAAGCTTGGAATGAAGTACAGAGTCGCACTCAGGTACAAGCTGCTAAATATAAAACTGCATGGACGGCTTGAACTTATTTAGTTTATTAATTTGTTAATGTTTTGCTTTGCAGGATAGCCAAAGATCCGAGGTTTGAGCGCCTGCCGTGCACACACAAGGGAACATACGCCGATGACTGTTTGGTCCAAAGGGTAACACAGGTAATATGCTTTCATTTTCACTTTAAAACGTATCATATCATTATAGAGAATAATTATAGGTAATTTTTCGCATTTCATTTTTCTGAAGTTTTTGGCACAGGTAAATAACATTAATGCATTTCCACAGCACAAGTGTTACATCCTGGCCACTGTGGACAGAGATCTTAAGAGAAGAGTCAGGAAGATCCCTGGGGTGCCCATCATGTACATCTCAAACCACAGGTAGCACCATTTTGACTGAAATATACGTCTGCTTTTTATACATCTGTTTTTTTGCATAAAATGTGAAAAAGATTTATGGACATGTTTCTTTCTTTCTTTTCATACAGGTTCAATATTGAACGGATGCCTGATGACTACGGTGCTCCAAGGTCTTAATCTTCTACAGCTGGGATGGACCTGTAAATAGACCACTTTTCTGTTTTTAAATGATTTTCCTTTCATGTATATTTTGTAGTTTGTTTGGTTTGGTGTAGGGTGGGTTTGATCTAAACTGCAAGTTACTTTACATTTGGTTGTTCATATGAAACATTTTGTTAAAAAAATAAATGAAATGTTGCAATGCTCCATGTCTTTGGTCTCCAGTCTTTTTCAACACCCCTAATGTGTTGCGGAAATGTTTCTTTATTAGCAAATATGCTAATTTACTATGGGAAAGATAACCTTGATCAATTCCATATATAGTTTCACACATTCTCTTTTGATGTTTTAAGGTCTTTATTATTTAAAAAATATTATGGTGTAAATGTGTTATTGTTTTTATTTTTCCTTCAACAATGTTAATAAAGATGTATACAAGCAAACCGGGAAAAGGGCAATATAAATGTTTCACTACTACAACTAATAACAAATCACAAAATAAGTCAGCCAACATATCCAGGGCATGGCTGATTGAATGATATCTCATTTAAAAATCTTTGATATGTTATCTTAAAACGTTTTTTTATTTACTTTCCTTCATCCTTCCACCACATCATAACAATATAGTGTCAAGATTAATAAAATGAAAACACCCAAATTGTGTTTTTTATTATTATCACCAAGCAGTAGAATAAATGACTCGCAGATCTAACTTCTTGATCGGAGGAGCACTTGAATGCAGCATTTGTCACGGTTGAGATCCGCTCAGTCTTGCGCATGCGCGGTAGACGGAGATCTGGGAGTGTCTGAGCTGCTCGTTGGACGTGAATCCCACTCCCAGCCGCTGAACCCAGGAGCATCTGTATGAACAATGAACCGGCTGACTGAAGGAAATGGTTTGGTGAAGAAGCGATGAAGAGGACGCGTGAGGAGTGTCGAGATGATGGGATTGCAAAACGGCACTGATTTTTCTGGATATTTGTGGTATGAATGACCTCTAACGGTGCAGGGAATTAGTCGTTTCTAATACTTTGTTGTCTGCGGATCAATCCTCCTAAAGACTGTGATAGCGGTACATTAGCCAGCTATTGTTGGCTTATTGAACTGTCAACCTATTGTAATTAAAACACGTCTAAAGGCTTTATTACCTAAGTGTCATAGTTTATTTATTAACATGGACATATTATTAAATGGCCTAGGGTTCTAGATTTTCCCAAAGAGTCATTTTTTTATTGCAAGAAGATTAATTTTGTTTGAAATCATCATTTAGGTCTTCAACTAAAGGGGTGCATTTTTATTAAACCTTCTCCACATTGCATTGACTTATTATTTTTATATATTTTTTGGCACATGCTGCTTGATGTCATGAGTTGGCCATCTGTTGTGGGAACCTTAAACCTGCAACAAGCAGATTAACCAGTGAAAGGTCCAGTATGGAGGCTTCTGTGCCTGAACTCAGTTGGGTTCCTGTTGCTGGAGGAGGAGGAAGGATGCTGAGGGCCCCCGCGGGCTCCGTGGAGCAGAGGGATGAGGAGCAGGAGGATGAAGCCGAAGAGGAGTTAAGGGATGGAGGGGTGCCTTTCTATGTGAACAGAGGAGGCCTCCCGGTGGATGAGGAGACTTGGGAGAGGATGTGGCGCCATGTGGCTCGAATACACCCCAACGCTGAGGCTCTGGGGAAGGAGACCCGGGGGGCCACTGACCTGCCCAAGGTAAGGTTGCAGCTGTTGAACTCCACATGTGAAACTTACACATGGTGGAGAAACAATTAACACCCATGTGATCTGAGGAAATGTTGAGCTACAGTGTTACTATGCTGTCCCACATGACTGATAGATACACTTAACTAATGTCTTTTTTTATCACAGCAGTAAAATACAATGCATGTTTTGTCCAGTCCACTCTGCATGGTACCATTGCATGCTATGGATGTTTTAGACACAGAAGAATGGTACTTTTCATTCATTTCTCGTGCTTAGAGCAATTAAGAAGCTCTTGCAATCGGCAGGCTGAATAGGGAAAAGCACACAAGACTACTTTGATTGTTCAATGTTCATCAAGTTGTTGGGATGCTCTCTGTCCTACAGATTCCAATACCGAGTGTGCCTACATTTCAACCTACCACCACTATCCCACAGCGCTTGGAAGCCATACAGAAATACATCAGGGAATTGCAGTATCCTTTGACTAGCTTGGTGTATTTGAATGTTTCCACAGCATTTCATTTGTAGTTAAAATATATTTAGATCTATCTTGACTTTTTTAAATCCTATCTAACCCTCTATTTTTACTACCCTTTACATTTGGAAGTAGGCAAGCATTGTGGAAACTCTACTCTATATTCAGCTTTATTTCAGTCAGAGAAGTAATTCATCCATATTTAAACAACAACCTATGAATATCACAAAGCACTATAATTGGTTGTCTCTTCTCCCTGATGCATGCTGCTGTTTGCTCTGTTGTTATACAGTACGACCTTAACTGTGTCCTACAGGTACAATCACACAGGAACACAGTTTTTTGAAATTAAGAAGAGCCGGCCTCTTACTGCGTAAGCACCTTTTTTTGTCTTTCACCCAAGACTAATCACTAGTAATGGACTCATGGCAGCAGTCATAGGATGTCTGCAACAATATTAGCTGATTTATTATGGTGTTGGCCAGTGCTGCTAATGTCTGATGCCTGTGGATCAGCTGTATCTCCTCAGGGCTTTGTGAGCTGAAACGTCAAGCAGCAGAAGGCCTGGAACACAATTTCCCTGACCTTGCCTTATTAGATTTCGTGGTCCAAATCATATTTCCATGGCTCGTGGAAAATGTGTTTGTTCAATAACTGTGTGTGCATTTCTATTACACTCAGTAGTGTCTTATATCACAGATGAGCATTAACAGTGTTTCTCTCCTGTTCCATTGTCCTGCACAGGTTGATGGACATTGCTAAAGAGATGACGCGGGAGGCTCTGCCAATCAAATGTCTGGAGGCGGTGATCCTGGGGATGTATCTTTAGAGAATCAGGGCATGTTGCAAATTGTATTATTGTATGTTTCATTGTAATGTGCCCCCATCATACATGTTTATGTTAATGGAGTGTTTTTTGGCAGACTTATTGTAAATTGTCTTTCCAATTGTCCGTTTCCTTGACCCTTCTTCGTACAGTTACCTCACCAACAACATGCCCGGTGTGGAGCGCTTCCCCCTCAGCTTTCAGTCTCACTTCTCAGGAAACCACTTCCACCACATCGTGCTGGGAGTTCACTGCGGAGGACGCTTCGGCGCGTTGGGCACGAGTCGGAGGGAAGACCTCATGTTCAAGCCCCTGGAGTTCCGCACACTGATGGACCTAGTGCAAGAGTTCGAAGGAGCCTACAGGGGCTACTGGCACACCCTGCGCAAGGTCAGGATCGGCCAGTACGTGTCCCATGACGCTCACAGCGTGGAGCAGATAGAATGGAAACATTCCATACTAGACTTAGACAAGCTGACCAAGGAGGAGCTACGGAAAGAGCTGGAGAGACACACTCGGGACATGAGGCTGAAGGTACAGTCAGCGATGGCAAAAGTACACACATCCTTTACTCAAGTAGAAGTACAGATACTCGTGTTTAAAAATACTCTGGTAGAAGTACTGACTATACTAAAACTAAAAGTAAATAAGTATGGACTTCGAAATGCACTTAAGTAAAAAGTACGCATACCTACAAACCGTTTTAAAGAGTAACTGACCTCCCTTTATATAATAGAACAATAATGTCATTGTTAGCTAATGAATGTTTTGATGCTGAACAATGGCAACATGACAACGTTTTCATTGGTCCCGCTTCTTTAGAGAAGACCAGGAAATGATGGATAAACCGATTGTGTTAAAATCAATAGGCATGCAATGACTTTAAATAATAATGATCACGCCACCAAACTAAAGTAACAAACGTGTTTTGAAAATGTAAGAAGTAGAGAGTACAGGTATGTGTGTTAAAAATGTAAAAAGTAAAAGTAAAAAGTCGTGGAGTAAAGTACTGATACCAGAAAAATGTACTTAAGTACAGTAACAAAGTATTTGTACTCCACTACTTCCCACCTCTGGGTACAGTACGGTATTCAGAAAAGATGCTCTGTAGATAAGCATTATGAATGGTAGTGCAGAAGTCTCATCTCACTGCTGACACCAGGACAAGCTGATGGAGCTCAGACAATGATGATAGATTTACTTTGTCCTCAGCAGACGGGCCGCTCATTAGATTTCTTTTTGACGCGCTGCCTCTTCATGCACAGTGACACCGAGTTGACCCGGCTGTTTGAGTGATTTCCCTCAAATGATGCTCTATCATCACCTCTCATGCCAACATAATGAAAACAGCCTTGATGCTGAGCTCTGCGCGTAATAAAACTAAATGTGATGGCTTCACTCTGCCTTGCTGTGCTTCATGCATGGCCGGCACAATCCATCAATTGCTGATCATTTACATTGAGTGCTCTCCACAATCACGTTACTAATAAAGACAGATTTTTCTACCACTCATACTGAGCCTCGCCCTGGAAAGCAAGGACATAAGAATACGTGACTCTTCACTCTGTGTTTTTAACTGATTCTGATAACGGTGTTCTTCTTGTTTTTGCAGATAGGGAAGCCTGCACCACCCTCTCCCACCAAAGACAGGAGGAACAGCATGGGGTCACCCCTCAGAGGACAGGGCAGCCCCATACGCAGGATCAGCCGCATTGAGAGACGGTATGATTCATCATGTGCTCAGCCAATATTAATGTGACATGCTTTTTGTCACTGGGACACATTTGGACTATAGATGTCTTGTGATCTACAGCAGTAGAGTAGTTCATGAATTAGTCACAGTTTCCTTGTCTGATTTATCTGTGTCTGTTTTGTTGCAGTCCCTCTGGAGATAAGAAGGTTCTGGAGCCAAAATCGGCCGCAGAAATTAATGGATACCAGATTCGAGTCTGAAGAAGAATGTTAGCTTGCTTGTAAGGATACAAGGTCCCACACACGTGTTTCAGAGCCGCAGATTCACTCTTCATTTTTTATACTCATTGGCCTATTCACGGAGACACAATGTTGAATAGGTCACCAGCAACTTTTCTTCTCAAAACAAATGCCTCTTTCAGTTTTTCTACGTCTACCATGGTTAAGGTTTTTCATGGAGCAGGTACTGTGCTTGGTTCTGGCCATGCTCCCAAATTAAAAAGGGGACATAAGTGCAGTACTTTGTAAACATTTTTAAATAACTGCAGATTTTTGCAAACTCAACACAATGTGAAATATGACTCTTCCCTTGACGTTGGGCAGGACCACCACTCAGTGTTAATGTGCTACTGGACATGTCATAAGGTTCTGTGGTGTTATGTTCAACAAAAGCTCTTAAGGCTCGTCTGCATTCTATATCGTCGTACTGTAAGTGTGCAAGTACATGTAATGTCATTTTAAATCCACTAAGGCTCTGCTGGGCTGCCATTTCTTGTGTAGTGACTAGTTTGCAAACCACTACCCGTGTGCCTTGTATGGAAACTCAAAGAGAAGGAAATTCCTTTTTTTATATCCACCCCATTATTCTCATTGTCTAACTAATCAGAAAAGCAGTGTAATCTCTGTTCTTCCTAAAATATCCAGATGCTAGCATGTTTAGCATGCTAATCACCTTATTGAATTTGAATATGGGATTGAATACACAATATACAATGGTATATTCAAGATTATGAAGTCATCTGTAGTGATACTATAAGAAGCAGGATTTTTTCTGGCTCCTGAATATAAGACATGTCACAACAACCATGATTATCAAGCTGATGGACCTTATCTGCATTTAATGTAGATGTTGAGTAAGAACAAGTTTGGTTTATATGTCCTGTATATCTGCTTTATATATACATTGTTTCTAACTTTATTTGTAGCAACTTTATCCGATAATTCACTAGCCTTAAGTGGTGCGATTTCCTTTTCAGATGAAGTGTAAAGACGTTTGTTTACTGCACTTTTATCTGCATTTTGTATTTATATTATCATTGGAAATTGTCATTTTATACTTCCTTCAGTGTTGGTGATCAGCAGTAGAACACTATTTACTACACACTGTTTTGAATATGTTGCCACAGCCAAAAACCTTCCGTTTACAGTAGGTGTTGTCTATTTTCATTTCAGTGCTCTATTACACAATTGTTTCGTACGAAAAGACTGTAGATTTACAGGATCACAATAAAGAGGCAACCCATCTTTGTTGTCTGATTCTATTTTTTATTATTAAAAAAGGTGTTTTTGGGGATAAACTCATGGTTATGTTTTTAATAAGCCAGTCCTTTTTAAGCAGTTTTCATCCAAGAATTCAGTGATTAGTCCCTAAGTATTCTGTAATTAGTTGTCGGACAGGCTTGGTGTCAGGCAGGGAATGGAGCCAGTTTTCTGTCGACCAATAGTTCAAACTGAGCACAGGGTGTCCTCAGTTGAAGGGCAGTTTTTGGCAGCAAAGCAAATGATGACGCAAGCAGACTCTGGAGATCTCTAAACACTTCCTGTTAGGTTTACACAAAGGAAACGTAATGCCAACAACTCCATTAAAGGGAACACTGGATTTACACACTTAAGTTAGACTAAGTGGGACAATTTAACCAATAAGATTTCAGATTATCGCGAGAGAACAAATGTTGTAGACAACTGCCCTTGTTTGCTAATATTTGTCAAATCGTTTAAGAAAAGGTGTAGTATGCTGGCATGTGTGCTCATGTTCAGGGATCCTGCTGTTTAATGGTCCCAGGTTGATGAATGTAAGTCCACCTCACAGCAATCAGCTAAGAAGTCTTAATGGAAGCTGCATCTGATGAACGCCAGTCAGCAAGGAACCACTTCCATGCATTGGCCAGTAATGTAACTCTGGAAAAGCTGCATGTGAGATCAAATACTGTCATGTGTTAGAGAATGGTGCAGTGAGCTCTTTAAAACAAGTTAATGTTGTGGCAGTTTCCTCAGTGAATTATGAGAAGATAGTCATGATGAAGATAAACAAATCCCTCTCTTCCCTTCCAGATGTCAGACACTTTGTCCAGAAGTGTTTGTCAGATAAAGAAACAGAAGATATAATGACCTATGAGAGAATAAACTACTACTGACCTACTTCGCTTACGTGCATGATGACAAAGGGAAAAGAGAGGCACACCCTATCGGATTCCTCTATATATTAAAGTTTTCAACTAATGAGTTATTGCTTTGAAGGGGAAACATATTTATATAGCACACTGTCAAGAATGAGTGAGGAGCGAGTGAGTGATGGGAATCACCTCTGCAGACATTTTATAGCCCACACATAACACAAAGCCCTCTTACTGAGCTCCATCATGCATGAACACTCAAATATCTTAATGAATTATTCATCCATGCATCCACTAGACACACACACACACACACACACAGACTTCTTCTCCCTGACAAACTGAGTGCCTCAGTGTAGTGGGACGGGAGGGGCAGAGCCAACATTCAGGTCACATCTCAGCACTACACCAGGCAGGGTAAACAGAGAGGGAGACTCCTATCTGGCGGATGTAATGCTGGTGGACACATTCAACTGTGCTGCTACATTATAAATAACAAATAATTGCATTTTATGTAAGGTGTTAAAAAGCTAAACTCAGGGAGCCACAAATAACTGTAAAAACATTTATTCAATATTTTCACCATCTGAACAAATAGCACTCACTCATAATCAGAAACAGCTTTTAGAACATTAGATTTAAAATCAATGAAAAAGCAACAGAACAGGTCAGTGTATTATTATAACAATATTATTAAAGCAATCACTTTTTTTTACAGCATAAATAATACGATTTTTCCTATTTCTGTATAATTGTATAACAAGACTGACTTTTGGCCTCCATTTTATTTTCTGGCTCTTTTAAACAAAAATATTCTCTTCTTCTCAGTAAGAAGACTTCATTTGATGCCATAAGGGAACCACAAGGGTTGGTGTTCATCTGAACAAAAAACAAAACTCAGATGTGTACAAGGCAAGATCTGAACCATTGTGAAGGGAAATACACTCAAACTCTGAAGTTCACCCATTTTCTTCTATTACACAGCATTCAGGTCCAGCTGGAATCTGGCCAGAAGACTGAGATGGTCGGAGGGAAATATGTCATTGGGCAAGCCCTTCATTGACCATAAGACGTCCTCAGATAGAAGGGAGAGAGAACCAATCAGCTTCAGACCCCTAATAGCAAAGGCACCGGCTGAGAAAAAAAAGAAAGACACCACAAACTAATAAGTGATCTACAAAAATTGATTCAAATCTGCAACAGTGTCCTCTGTGTCGTGTCCCCATACCGCTTGGATCCCAGGTTGCCGAGCGTCTCCGGCTGTAGAAGATGTAGTCGACTGTAGATCCGCCTTCAGAGTGCAGGGTTGTGACTTCTGGATTGCCAGATCCTGGAAGGACGTGTTGGTAGACCGACTCCAGGTCTAACCGGTGGCTGATAGTGTGGCTGAAACTGTCACAAAACATGACTCAAATCACATCTCAGTTACAGCCAATTAAGCTTGCTCTACCTTTTGGCCTATCTTGTTTTGTACATAACCTATTTTAATATGTAAAAAGGCGACATGCAAAATGAACTGAGATAAATAAAGAATTTAATTTACCTATTTATTGATTTTAGTTGCTTTTTATTTAGAGTCGCTCAGTTGTATGCTTTGACACTGAATTGGCATCCTCTCCCATATAGTATATTGTATGCATAAAGAAATGGCAATATGACAAAAAACGTTGGGTAAACTGACCTTTTATCAGGCTGATTTACGCTTGAAGCATCTGTGCATGAAAATAAAGAAGATATTGACCCAGATATTGAAACCATTTCAGTAAGAAGTGATGTTGTGGTTTTTGTATTGCAATCCCGTACCTGGAGTGATGTCAGTCACTCCTGGGATCAGCTGTAGGTCCAGAGGACGGATACATGCAGTCGGACAGAAGCGCAGCTGGCGCATAAAATCATGGCTGTACTGACCTTTTCCTACATGAGAAGAACAAAGACAGGATAGGAAGTGAGGAAAAAGAGGAAATTAAACACAAAAGACCGAAACCTACTCCATGGATAGAGATTACAAAAAGGGTACATAACAAAAACCTGCAGTCACTTCAAACACTGACCTGATTTCTGGCTCCTGCTCTTTGATTCCTCCTTGTATGCAGTAGTATGCTGGCATCTGTCAGTGATTCCCAGAGAGCTGGGCCACAGGGGGACGCACAGTCTGTGACCATAGGCTCTGTGGGACAGGTCCTCTTGACCTGATATCTGTTGGACACGGGGAATACATAAATGGTGGTTAGAGGTAAGTCCTATAAGCATCATGGCACTAACCTGAAACCAAATATAACTATTTAGTGCTTTTTTATGATATATGAATATGTTGCTGTTTTTTATAGAAAGTCTAGATTTGTCTCCAATAGCTTCAATGTCATGTGACTTCAAATCAACGCAGTATTGTATCACTACACTGAGCGAGTAGGTATTTTAGTCCCCCTTCTACAGTATGTATGTGAATATTGGGATTAAATCTATATATGTTTTTATTATATTCATATAGAATAGATAATAAAATAGGTGGAATACGTTTTCTTTTTAAGAAATCTGACCTACTTTTCTAATGTAGCAATACAATGCTTTTGATTGGTTTGGCATTCACGACATAATATGGAAGCCATTTTCAATCAAAAGCGGCAGAATCTCAACAACAACATTAAAACAAATTTAAATGAATTGGGTAGCCCTTTTCAATGTTAAAACAAAAGTTTGGGTTGTGAAATAAAAGACAAACACTGCTGGCTTTGCATGGGAATGAACCTAGTGTGTTTGGTCATGTGTCATTAGAAACAGCAAATCATCCTCCATTCCTTGGAAACACTGTAATCTATTATACAACTATTCGTTGCCGCTCTACTCACCATCCATGCGGGTAGACCCTGGAAGTAGAGCTCTCCGGTGGTGATCAGCTGGTACAGAGGCATTGAAGGGATGGAGTTAAAGTCTCCACACAAGATGAGGTTACAGTGTTCACCTTTTGCATTACAGGACTTGATCACGCTGCCGATTTCTGCCAGCATTATGGCCAGCTGAGCCAGCTTCACATCACCCCTCCTAGGGTTGAACAGCAGGTGGGTGTTGGCCACGCAGAGCGGTGGGCCCTTTGCCTTGACCACAGACCCATTCATTACCACTGGCCGAAGCAACACAATAATGCCCACATTGTGCCGGTCCAGCAGCTCAGTCTCGGGCCTGAAGAACTCCAGCGTGGCGACGGACACCTCAGAAAAGCAACTGCTACGGTAGCATGTAGCGCAGCCGTCTCTCTTTGTCCCTGTACGGCGCTTGTACACACAGGTGTAGCCTGGAACATGAGGAGACAGTATATGTAATGTCTTTGTGATAACATCATCCAAAAGGATTGTTCCAACATATTTTCTAAGATGATTTACCCATCTGAGACAGAGCTGGATACAGTTGTTGATGGTAATGGTTCTCCTGAACTTCTTGGAGACACAGAATCTACCGAGAACACACATAACTCATTAATGGACCCCTCAAAATGACCATTAAATGTATCTATCTTGCAACTATGAGCAACTGATTTTAATCAGTCGGCACTTGACTCACATCTGGTTCCCATTTCTGGATTTCCTCCAGGAGTAGGCTGCAGCGGTAGCTCCAGTCGAGCACCTCCAGAGGGCAGTGTGTGTACAGCTCCTGGTTGGCCTGCAGCAGGTCATCAGCAAGGATGTTGTAGGACATTACAGTGAAGTCCATCGAGGCGTTTGTGAATGGAAGGGGCTCTGCTGCAGTGGCACTCTCATCCACCTTCTCCCATACTCTCCATGTTACTGGGTAGAAAACAAACACATACAAGGAGAGTACAGTGTTTTTATTTATTTATTTTATTGTATTTAATTTGTCAGACAGTTAATAGATTTGTTATCTTCACGGTCATCTGTATATTTTTCTTACTCTCTAATGCTGGTTTAATCCTATTTCTATTTTGAGATGTTTATATTTTCGAATTGTTTATTTAAACTCTTTTCATTTGTTATTATGTGCAATGCCTTGTTTTGTTTTATGATGCTGCAACAACAAAAATAAGCAAATTGGGATTAATAAAGTACATCTTATCTTATCTTACAGGCAAATCTCACTGCAGTGGAGATATTACAATCGACAAATATTAATCTTTCACCTAAAAGAGAAATCAGATTATCACCTTCAAATCCCACTGTTGAATCTATTGGAGGATAGTAGCTTGCTGCGGGAAATTGCCACAGTGGGCACTGCAATTCCTCTGCCAAGCCACGTCCTGCCGGGAAGTGCCAACCTGCTTGAGTTTCATGCTGCCCACTGACTTTAAGTTGGGGTTGAGTATTTGAGAGAAGGGAGGAAAATATCAGCTCCGAACTGCTTTCTCCACCTTCAGCAACTGAAGCCAAATATTCATCCCAGCACTCAGTAACTTCAGCCGGAGTTTCAGCTGGAGGCATTGGCTTTTCCAAACGTTGTACTTGTACTGAACCAGTTGTTTCTTGTACTCTTGGCTCAGCTCGAGTAACTGACTCAGGACTTGGGCTTTCTTGCGTGCTGTCCTCTGTTAGCAGGCATGCTAATTGTGAGCCAGGAGCTAGCCCTTGATTAAGATCCTCAGTTGGAGAAATACTCCCATCCTCTGTGTTTTGCTTCGTATTGAACACCTCATGGTGATCAGTTATTTCCCCGTCCCCTTGTTCAGGAGTTTCCACTGTGTCTTGTAGCTGTCCATTTCTCGTCTCTGCTTCTTCTGCTTTCACTGCAGATTCCCCCTCACTCATCTTTGAATCAGCCTCCTTCTTTGTAGTTTCATGCAGGACAACCATCAGCTGCAATGTGTCGTATTCCTGTTCTGGGCTTGGTTCTTTCATCCTTTCTTCCATTTCCCCTTTCGTCCCACTGCCTTGGCTGAGCCACTGGTCCAGCTTGTTAATTTGGGACAGGGTTCTGGTTGTGACGGCCCCACCATCACACAATGCCTTATCATTATCCATAGAAGGAGGGAAAGCCTTCTTGGAGGCCCCTGTAGGACAAGCTCTGTGTTAGAGAACGCTGGTACATTTATATTAAGCTGAAACATACTGAGATATTTAGCTTGTGTCATTGATTTTGCCCTAAAATAATGATAAGCAGTGTTAACCCTTATGTTGTGTTCGGGTCTCCCGTGACCTGTTTCAAGTTAAAATTATATAATAACTACGCTCTAGTTTTTTTTTTATCGGAACAAGGCTTCATGATATCCTTCACAACAGCTATATAAACACTACAAAACTGATTTTGACCATTTTTGCCAAGTCTGAAGGTCTCTAAAACAAAAAGTGTATCATTTGGTGTTCGGGTCTTGAAGACCCGGAAGAATTGTTTTGGATGACTCGGGGTCAAATTTGGACCAATCAAGATTCATCTTTGACTTTAGACACCCCAGCCCCACTCCCTTCATCCACTGTAACAATACTTTTCCGCAACATGCACCTGGTCTCCCATCCCTCTGCCCCGCTCCCCCCCTCCCCCCACGGGAACTCGACCTTTCTCAAAGAATATGTACACTAACACTTGCACCTGAACTCACACATGCACAATATGTGGTGTAATGTGTTTTGGGCCATAACATTAAATTACAACAGGATTGTAAGGTTATGAATGCATAATAACTTAGTTTTGATGTAGTTAAAACAATATTGGATGATAATCTTTTTTTTGGTGTGTTTTGGACTGAGATAAATCATGGGTCAAAATGTACCCGCGAACCCCATGAACGGTAACTGAAGTTACCTACTGTAACTCCAGCTTCTATGAGTATTGGCGAAGCCCTCTAAGGCTATCGCTATTGGGTAATCCCCCTGCGCACCCGCGCATCACTGAAACACTTGTAGTCCACGCCCACCCGCAAGGTGGGCCCCACCCTCGGGCTTCCTTCCGGTATAAATAGGAAGGAAGCCCGACAATCTGCTCCCATACAAAATAACTTTTCTTCAGCTATTCGTGGCCAGTGGGGCCCAGCACTTAGAGGGCTGCGCCAATACTCATAGAAGCTGGAGTTACAGTAGGTAACTTCAGTTCTATTTTGTATATGGCTTCGCCCTCTAAGGCTATCGCTATTGGGTTAAGGGCGAAGCATGATGTAGTCTGCGCCCCACTGGGTCCGCCCGGTACTAGAAGCACAGACACACCTGCTCAGATAATAACCCATGCCTATTGCGCCATCGCCGTCCCTGGAATATAGCATAACATGAATATTCTCCATGAGGGGACGAAGGCTGGGAACAATACATACCTGCCGCTGTGAAAAAGTAGAGACAAAGGTCATACTTTGCCCAGTGACAAAAAGAGGGGGAACAGCAGCTCTCTGCGTGCAGACAGGAAGGAGAGCGCACGGCTGGATCCCTGACGTCACTCACTCTGACCAGACACTCCGTACAAAATGTGTCAGAGGAAAAAAAGGAAACATCCTTCTCATAAGAGGGGAAAAAGGGCCACTCTCCGCGTGCCGAGAGGCAGGAGAGAGGCGCACAGCTGGATCCCTGACCTCACTCACTCTGACAAGACACTCCGTACAGGGTGTGTCAGAGAGGAATGGGAGACATCCCTCAATTACAATTGAATACATGAACAGGGGGAAGACCAAGATGCAGCAGTGCAAATATCTTCCACTGACATTCCTCCGTGCAAAGCCATGGAGGAGGACATTCCTCAGGTGGAGTGCGCATTGATGTTCTCCGGGGGATCCACCCCAGAGGAGACATATGCCTGTGACACAGCTTCACACAGCCAGTGTGACAGCCGTTGTGCAGACAGAGGCTGCCCGATCGAGCGCTCTCTATAGTGCACAAACAGGCGCTGAGAATGGCGCAAGGCAGCCGTGCGCGCCACTAGCAGGACAGCGCGCGCACCGGACAGAAGAGATGAGACGCGGCTTCTTCCTCCGACCTGTGAGGAGGGGGAAAGAAGCCATCTAAGGTGATCACTCTCGACTCTAAAAGAGCTTGTGATGACCTTTGGCATAAAAGCCGGGTTAGGGCGTAAAACAGCTGAACTGCCATCTCCTTGGATCCGGAGGCATGACGGAGCCACAGGGAGAGCAGACAAATCACTCACCCTTTTCGCTGATAGAGCCAGAGCCAAAAGTAATACTACTTTGGCTGACAACAGTTTAAGGGGAACCTGGTCTAAAGGTTCAAATGGGGCTTTGCTTAGTGCGCGTAACACCAAAGCCAAATCCCACTGAGGTCATACGCGGCTGCGTTCAGAAGCTGCACAGATCGTACTCCTCCCTGGCGATGGAGGTAGGCTGCTTCCATAGCCGTGGCCTGTTGTCTGTGCAAATCAACACGTTTGATTGTACAGCAACGGGGCGACTCCCCCGTTCTTGTCCGAGATTTAGAAAAACAGCAGGGGTAAAAACCGCGCAAGACACTGTTCCTGGGATGACAGGAGTGTTTCTTGTATCCCATGGAACTGCTGGGGGGAGAGGCTTCTCTGTGATGTGCCGTAATGGTCGTCATGGTGACGAGCCACGCCATCGCCGCCGCTGCCCGTGAGGCAAAAGGGCTGCGAGGGAGTTTCCACACGCTGCATTTCACTCCGTCTCTCATCATGAGGCGCATACACGCCCAGGGGATGAGAGGTGTGTGCATGCTGTCCACACGAGGCGTTATAACGGTGCTCGTGGATTTATTATGACCGTGTGTAGGAGGCATATCTGGGACAGAGGAATGCCGCGAGCTCTGCAGTTTATAAACAAATAGGTTAAAAACAGCAGGCTTTTGCAGCGAATGAACCACCTCTGGAGTGTCCCCCTGTTGGAAGAGACCCAGGGGGATCATCACGTGACCAGCTGACGCCAACGCCGAGCAGCTGCGTCACGGAGAGGGCTGTGACACGCCGGAGGAGAGCTGTCAGTTCCTCCACTCGCTGCCGCGAGAGCCGCGCTCTCATGCTGGCTGAGTTTAATTCCACTATCAGATAAACGATTGTCTGAGAGGGAAGAGGACAGCTCTTCTTCCAATGTATTATGAAACCCAGGCTTTGACAGATGCGATACAAGATGTACCGTCTGTAAAGCGACTTCCTCGCTGGGGCGAGCCAGCAATTAGCAGGTCGTCCAGAGAAAACCACACTCTCATCCCTCCTCTGTGTAGTGGCAACCCAAGGTGTGCTTGGACCGAAAGGTCTGCGCGGGGGGCCTCCACACGCTGCGTCTCCCTCCGACTCTCATCATGAGGCGCGTACACGCTCAGGGGATGGATGGAGGTGTGTGCAATGCTGCCCACATGAGGCGTTATAACGGCGCTCATGGGTTTATTATGACCGTGTGTACGAGGCGTATCTCGGACAGAGGAATGCCGCGAGCTCTGCAGGTTATTAACCGAGGTTAAAACCGGCAGGCTTCTGCAGTGAGCCCTGCTGTCTACTTAATCAACAGATTAGTGGCAGCCGGCTTAATTAGCGGCTCTGCTTCCTCGGAGGCTCTCGCGGAGCAGACCAGGAGCGGGGGAGCCTCACTCCCCTTTGACTCGCCGCCGGGAGACCCTGTCTCTGGGGTGGCGGGGGAGCGGAGACGTGGGACGGAGCCCCTGCAGCCGCCAAAGGGCGACTCTGTCTGACGCTGAGGCGGTTGCTGTGGGCGTCTCTCCGCTTGCGGCCTCCTGTGACCGGCGTGGACGCCGCGGCTGCTGCGGGCGTTGGTGCTGCTGTGGGCGCTCAGCAGGCTGGAGCCAGCTGTACATGCTGGCGAATGCCGTCCGCCTTTTCCGTTCCGCGGCCGTCTTCATGGACTCCACCATGGTGTGGAACTGGGGTCCGAACAGCTCGTCCGGGCTGATTGGAGTGTCCAGTAGCACTTTTCTGGCCGTCTCCGTAACAGACGCCTGCTTCAGCCAGAGGTGGCGCTGGATCTGTGTCACCCACGCGGATATCCTCGCCTGGGAGACAGCAACGGACGCGCACAGAATGAGCGCCGTGCTGGCCGCCTCGGTGGTGGACCGCTCTACCAGTGTCACCACCGAGTTGGAGAGCAGCGCAATGTTATTCGCCGCCGCGCTGTGGTGACGGAGAGGGGGAAAGCCTGTTCGGCCGCCAAGCTGGCACCCTGCTCCGACTCTGTCTCCCCCGTCCGGGGGAGAGGAGGGAGGGGAGAACCGAACGGTGAACCGTGGAGGGAGGCGGGGCAGGAGTTGTCGGACTCCTGCCCGGCACTCGGCCCCAGGGACACGAGGCCCCGTCCGCGGGCTCATAAGCCTGGACGGGCCAATCGTCCTCCTCGGCCACAGCAGCAAGAGCGTCCGCTCTCCGCTTCCTGTCGCCCGAGGGGAGACGGGCGCAGTGTGTGCATGCTACCTGCTGGTTTAGAGCCGCGTACGCGTGCTCTGACCCCAGGCAGGATTCGCATACTGCTTTTATCTGTGCTGGTCATAACTCATTATGAACCCAGAGCCACATGAGGGACAATCTCTCACACAATTGTTACTCATGTTTACTCTGCAATTGAAGTGTCTCTTGTGCTTCAGTAACGGTGTGCTGAAGAAAAGAGGGAGCAGATTGTCGGGCCTCCTTCCAATTTATACCGGAAGGGAGCCCGAGGGTGGGGCCCACCTTGCGGGTGGGCGTGGACTACAAGTGTTTCAGTGCTGCGCGGGTGCGCAGGGGGATTACCCAATAGCGATAGCCGAACCCCTAGTTTCCACCGGGTCCGTCTGCGTCGCGTAACGGCTGCGCCGCGGTTATCAGCTAGACAGCTAGCCTATATGCCATACGTTTTTGCACACATTCACAGTAAATATGTATTCAGTATGATAGCTGTCTAACAGAAGTTAAATTCATTTCTCACTTATTCTGACAATGTACTTAACCCCAAATAAAAGAAAGAACCCAATAAAAAGAGTTGTTAAATAATAGTGAAGTCACGTTGTAATAACAATAACTCATCTCTCTCGAGTTTTCCTTTTTAGCTTTGCCAAAAGCCACTGTGTCAATGTTGTCCTATTTGGGTTGCCGTCCGGCGTTGTCCAATATGGCGGACCATCTCGCACATGCGCACTGCAGATCGGGCAGAGCTGCAGATCGGGTAGTGACACGGCTTCCTCCGGCGTCATACCCTACCGGGCGCGTTTCAGAAGCATTTCAGAAGCGGAGTGTCTTGCCTACCGGCTCGCAGTTTCAGTTGATTTGAGCATATTTCCTGGACAGACTACTTTGTACAGACAAAGTTAATCATAATTGTAATATCCCAGTTATAAACGACATGAATCAAAGATGTGTTGCTGTATTTTAGTGGTAAAATCATCATAATTATTCTATATATATATATATAATTTACACAGTGCCTGTAAACCGGAGGAGAACGCTGGCATTTACCCTCCTACTTGAACGACTACGGAGGGATAGGGTCTGCTAAATGAGTTTGTGTGTGTGCAGGGCCGGACTGGGACAATAAATCAGGCCGGGAGTTATACACCCAGCCAGGCCACTACCATTGTTTTTGTGCCATTTTGCTGGATTTATTTGTCAATATTTACAGCGTTGCTGCCCATAGTGATAGCCCTATAGTTTAAATCTACTACCCAAAAATAAACATATGGACATGGGTCACTATTTAAAAAAAAAGTGCAAATCTATTTAGGAACCTATCCATGTGCACATATTTTAAGTGGGGGTGGACCTCAAATCCTCTAGGGGGTCCGGGGGCATTCTCCCCCGGTAAGATTGTTACCCAGTGTTAAATGTTGGAGTTAAATGCATCAATCTGGTGCATTTTGAGGGGGAAATAAAGAGACTAGATCTATGGAAACACCCATATGAAACAGAACTGTACATTTAAATAATCATAAGAATATGGCCATAACCAATAACATACCATATCCAATATTTAAAAACATTTGAACTTGTTTATTTATTTGTTTTTGGTCATTTATAGTTGTGTGTGTCTGTGCTCCTGAATCAGCCTCTCCTGTCTCCCCCCTCTCCCCCTGCTCCTCTTTGAGGCAGCAGCAAAGACTAGTTTTAGCTCTCAACAAGTTTTAAAAGTTTATCTTACCTTTTTTCACCTAGTTAACGTTTTTTTTTAAATTATTCATGCATATTATTTAACTAATCTCACTCCCCCCTCAAATGGAAATATGTGTTTACATAAATGGAGACCAAACCGTTTGAGACCCACAGAGATAACTTAGACAAAGTTAACTATCTAAACACTCAAGAGAGTCCTTTACCTCACCTGAGCTGTAGTTATCAGTCTCTCAGTCTGACTGGAGAGGACTCTCCTCCACCTTGTTGTTGAAACAGCTCCTTATATCGGTTAGCGCAGCTAGCTAGCACCAGATGCTAACAGCAACAATACAGTAACCGGTGCGCGCGCTCTCTCGCTCGCTCCCGAGCTTGAATGACACACAGAGACCAATCGAGGGCTTTAGTGTATGATCTGTATGAAAGTGGCCATGTCGGCGGGCCACATCATGTAGACAGCCAGTCACCCTCTGTGAGGCAAGACCCCCATTTGCGCAGCGTTGCGTTCACTATACATAGGCTACATTACAAAAATAATCCTCAGGCCAGCAGGCCACTTAACAGGCCAGGCCATCGGGAAACCTCCCGGTCCTCCCGATGGCCAGTCCGGGCCTGTGTGTGTGTATATATATATGCTCACGTTCCACTTCCTGCCTGCCCGACATAGAGGGCGAAGCCATATACGAAATAGAACAGCTTTCGAACACAACAGAAGGGTTAAATGTGACACAAGGAAGGCACAAGGAAGGCACAAAAAAGGAGCCTCATTGAATACAAAAGCAAAACAGTCCCACATGGCAACGTCGTGACGTCATGCATCACGTTGGGAAAGTTCTAAAAAAAACGTGAGCTAAATGAGCGGAATAGCAAAAACATAATGTGCATTAAGTTAACGATATCATAAATAAGGAAATATTAGCTCATACTGTGGGAGCACAAGAAAAGTGTGACACCAAGTTTTATTTTAAATCACCCTCACGCTCAGTCACGCGGACAAATGTTTGATACATTGCCCAGTGAGCAGCGAGCCACAACCTAACGTTAGCCGATAGCTTCTACAAAATATGTAACCCAATGCACGTGGTGAGAAGGACAATGTCCTACACCGAGACCTTTGCAATGTGCTATTTTATTTACCTGCGTGTAGACGGCGACTTGTCATGTACCGTGACAGCGGGTAGAGCGCATAGTACAATATGCTGCCAATCATGTTTATGTTGTGAGGTCTGCGCATGCGCGCTGTGAAGTTGGTGGTGATGAGGTAGTGTTACAAATGGTCAGCGAGAAACTATTCACTATTAAACCTGTGAAAATTAGGGTTAACATCATGTTTGTTATCCTTATCTTTTATTTTACTATTACCTCTGATTTTCTGCTCTTTCATATTCCTTGTCTATATTGCACTGAATTCCTGGACTATACAGTATATTACAAAATGTGTTATTCTTACAATTATTCTAAATAAATGTAATTCAACACAGTTTGAAATAGCATCCTTTTGCACATCATTTTGTATAAACTAAATAAAATAAAACGTTAGAATGTACAGCTGATGTAAGAATGTACAGCATCTTATAAAATACCATTTTACTTTGAACAATACCATTTCACAAAGTGTCATACTGTATCATCATACCTACAGTTTTGCTTAGAGATGCTAAAAAAAACACAGCATGCTTACCACACCAAGGCATAAATTGTTGATGTCACTACACATGAGCTGTTACCTGAGAGGTAGAGTTACCCTCGGGAAAGCACAGGCCTATTTCATTTCACAGTGCAAGCCCATACAGAACACACATGAACAAATTGAGAAACAATAACCAGAGGACTGTATTCCCTTTGAGTCTGAAAATTGATTTAATCTGGATATAGGCTTTGACAGCATAGCAATGTCAATGCTCTCTTTTGAGTCCCTCTGCTTAAAAGAGAATGATTGTCCATCACCAACTGAACAGCAGGACACGGAGGATGAGTTTGACACAGACTTAGAGTCAGACGGTGAGTCAATTATATACATTTTTGGATTAATTGTTGGAGTAAATATAGTATTAGCTATTTTGCTGCTCATGTAAAGTTGTTAGGTCAACTCATAATCTGTGATAAAAAACATTAATGAAAACAATGAAAATAGAACGCTTGTTTTGACAAAGTGTCGCTGTGAAACACAACTTAAATACCGTATTTGTAACCAACGGCCCATGTGGTACTCACTCATTTCCAGAAAAAGAAGAGAGCAACAATAAGACTTCTATTTCTGAAGTGTACCTCGAGGCCTGCAGGCTGGTGGGTGTAGTTCCAGTCTCCTATTTTATACAAAACCTTGACTCCACAACCATGACCCTCAATCATCATGGGCTAGGACCTTTGGGGTGCAAGGCACTTGCTATCGCTCTAGTGGTAAGTTAAAAGGGCATGCTATTGAATGTGACTTTTTAAAATAGAACATCTCTAATATTATCTTTGTATTTAGGCTGATATGAATATCGATACTCTCGAACTGGCAGACAATCATATTCAAGCTGAAGGAGCCAAATACCTTGTGGAGATGCTGAGGGCTAATTTCACATTGCAGCACCTGGTATGTCAGAGTAACCACTGGAGGGCACAAGTGCTTTTCAGGAGGCTTTTCTCCCTTACATCTGTGCAGCATATTGTACCATCATCTGTTTTGCTTACAGGATTTGTCCAACAACTATCTGCAGTCTGAAGGAGCTGATTATATGGCTAAAGTGTTGCTGGACAACATTTCAATCAAATCTATGAAACTTTCAGGTAGTGTGGAAATAAAAAATAATAGGTTAAATACAATATTTTATACAGTTGATATCACTGTACATTTAGATCACTAAATTCAGTTAAAAAAGAAAAACGTTTCAAGATTATTATTTGTGATTTCTATACTTGTTTAGCACATTTCTATTTTTTCCAACAGGAAATGGATTTTCTGATGATGATGCAAAATATTTTGCAGATGCCTTGTTGGTAAGTTTATTATTATTTATGATCAGTCGACAACAATGATTTTTATGCAATGACATTTAAATTATGAAGTTATATTTGGTTACTTTTTGCCATTATTATGATGCTAATATTTCTATATTTAGACCAATTCCAGAATAAAGGAACTAGACCTGAGCCATAATGAGTTTTGTGGAAAAGGAGGGGAACATTTAGGACAACTGTTGGGTATGGTAACATTTTCTAACGTCTTTGTTGAGTTGCTAAATGCATAGCTTTGCTTCATGAAATAAATTACAAACTTGCCAAGCCTTATTTTGTGATTCCACCTTCCATTTCTACAGCAAACAACGAGGGTCTTGAGATGCTGGATCTCAGCTGGAACCATCTCAGAATGAAAGGGGCTGTGGCGTTTTGTGCTGGACTCAAGGTTTGGATGTATAATCAATCCATTTGATCACTGTCTCAGTATACAACAGCTGATCACATTCCCCATATTTAGGTGAATATGATGTTGAAACACCTCGATTTGTCATGGAACGGATTTGGGAATGAGGGTGCCCTCGCCATGGGAGAGGCCCTAAAATTCAACAACACTCTGGTGCACCTCAACCTTAACAACAACCGCCTCACCAATGAAGGCGTCGGCATGCTTTGCAGGGGCCTCGAGTTCAACGACACACTCCGAGTCCTACTGGTGGGTGGAACATGTTGTTTTATGCTAACATGTCTCATCGGTGTGGTGCAGGTACATTTGAATGTGACATTTTATTCTTACTGTCCTGTAGCTGGCTTACAACTCTCTAACAGTAGAGGGAGCACTGACCCTGGTTAATGTGGTAAAGAACACACCTAGAACTGCCTTGGAGGAGATTAACATATGTGTGAGTTTATTTGGTTCAATGTCTGTCTCTGTCTGTCTTTTTGGCACCCTGATCTAACTGTTCTGTCATATCATTTCATAACCTTTCAAATAGGCCTTTCAATATAAAATAAATCACAATAAATACCCTGTTTCTTGTCTGTACCAAACATTATATGTTGTCACCTTTTTACCACGCAGAATGTGCTGGTAACTGAGACATTTGTGCACCTGTTGGAGGTGACATGCCAGGAGCATCCCGGCCTGGATGTACAGTACGGAGGGGTCGGTGGTTTTATTGCTAAGAAGCCACCAAAACGTGTTGATCCAATGAAAGTCATCCAGGTCTGTGTCAGTCGAAAATGAATATAAGTAGTCCTAGCATCTTATTTTACACAATGAGACATATTAGTTTAAAAAAGCCGTCAAATTCCTCTTTCTTTTTGCTTGGTTAATTGTCAAAATGTCTTAATGTTTTTAAAGGATTATTTGGATCAACGCAAGCTACGCCTGTGGGATTTCTTCCGGAACATTGACAAAGATGGCACCATGCGGGTCCCTGTCGCTGACTTCAGGAAGGCGGTGCAGGTGTACAGATAAACTGATCTTCCTAACTGTGTTGTCAGTTACATTCGCAGGGCAGACTACCATGAAATTGTCCTCTGAAATCATGCGTGAAGAGCGCTCTTCAAGTCTTTCTTACACTGTGAATCAATTGAATCAAGCTTACTGAAAGGGACTGGTGAATGATTTCAAGAAGAAACTTAGTGACTGACTTTTTTTGTTTGTTTTGTGAAACCATGATAGCAATCAAGTATTCCTTTGGATCGATACCAGATCGAGGAGCTGATTCAGAGACTTGATCGCGACAGGACAGGAATGGTAGACTACAGGTAAGCAAGTCTTCGATTGTTTAATCACACTCACAGGTGGGCCTTCTGAATTACTTCACAGGGATTGATATCTCAAGGTTTATGGATATAAAACATTAAGTGACAACATTGCTGTCAATTTACAGTCTTATTATTGTTTGATTGATGGTACAGTTAAACTGTGTGTGTTTTAGTTATGAGCTGGGAACTTGTCCAGATCTTCACCTTGAATGACTTCACAAAAAACGGATGTGTGTGTTATCTGATGTTCTGTGCAGGGGACTGGCAGATACAAGGAAACAGATGATGAGGGATCACCGCCGCCAGCTGAGGAAGGTTGAGTCTCGTCAGAAGAAGGAGAAGCAGAAGAGCGACCGCATTCTCAAGACCTTCCAGAGCGCCGTGGACGCTGTGACACCACGCAGCTCAATGGTCATATCTCCAGGGGGTCCCAGAGATGATTCAAGTGGTGGCCCGCAGCCCTTCTCTGCCACCCCGCTCAGTTCTTGGCACCATATTGTCATGTCCAACAGCAGTCGCTATTCCGTCAGTAATCTGAGCAATGAGCATGTCCATCTGCCCATGTTGGGAGGCACAACGCCTTACCGTCCCACCAGTTCCCCAGGGATGCGCTCCTACTCCCAGCCCAACCTGCTGGATGACTCCCCCCGCTCTGCTCCAGGGATATCTGTCTCTGCCCAAGGTATACGCTCCGATTCAGAGTTCGGCCACAGCAAGCTAAGCCCCACAGCAAACCACCTGACCAGGTCCAGGCCGGCTCTTGACGCCAAGCAGCCAGTGGTTAAAGCCAAAACCAAGAAAGTAAAGAAAAAGAAAACAACAAAACGTGTGGATAAAGACTTGAAGAATACAAATGTCAAATTATAGTAAAACTCTGTGTACTGGTTTCAAATCTCACTGTCTGAATAAAAAACGATTTAAACTAATATTTCTGGGATTTCTTTTTTTTTTTAGAACTTTTTATTTATTCCACAAACATATAACATTCATGGAGATGTACATAAAAATCACACCCGCCTCAGTTTACAGTCCACTCCAATCTACACGTTATTGCTCACATACACATACATTACCCCTTTCCTTCCAAGTCTTGGCAAATGATACATAAATACAGACATTCATTTAAATTCTCTGACCTTTCCCTGGGTAGTCGGTACAGACAGGTATGCTTATAAATCCGAAACAGGTGCTATTTTTTATCTAATCTCTATATTTGCACAGCATATTCAGGGTTCAGACCATCAGGAAAAACATTTCATATTGCTTGGGAACTCTGTCAGATGGTACACCCACCCATCATCTAATCCTTGAATTCTGATGCACACCCACTCATAAATAAATCAAACAAACATAAGAGTATTTCATTTCTGTTTGCTGACGATGACATCAAGTTTTACATATTGGCTAATTGTGATGTGAACAAGGACAGGTGTTTCAACCTGCGAGATGTAGAAACAGGCTATAAAAGCACAAAGGTCCAGCTATCTCAATCATTACAACTCTGACTGCATCAAGGATGATTGACACGCTGTACTTCTTGGCACTGCTCAGCTCAGCGATGGCCTGGAGGGTATCTATGGCATGACTTAGATCCACTGATTCATCTTTATTCTTTGAGGATGATCTACTGTATCAGCATGTGACCATCTCTTTTTGTTGCCTGAAGCGCTTAGGCCTGTTGAGCGAGGGCAGTGCGAGGAATGGGACCGGAGGTGGAAGTGGGGACCGGTGCACCTGTGATGCCTTCTTGCCCAGTTCTACCTTTCCTATTAAAGACCTGGTGATGGTAGAGCAGACAGCCGTGGAGATCTCACACAAACTGGAGCTGGAGATGGGCAAGGTGCACAGGCATATTGAAGCATATGAAAGTATATGATAACATATTTGAGACTTCAATAAAGAGTGTAAAATCTTCATTTTATTTCAGCTGGAGGACTATGAGATAAAGCTGACAGCTTATGAAGAGAGGATAATAGAGCTGTCAGTACAGATTGAAAAAATGGAAAAGAACCCCGATGCATACAATGATGCCGACAAGGTTGAGATAAAGATTGAGATCAAACAAGCGGAGGCTCTGATTAAAGAGCTGCACCTCTCCATTAAAGGCTCCATCACTGTCTTTGAGTCTCTGCGTATACAGGTAAGTACATTTGATGGGAGTCAACGCATTACCAGTATAATGCCAATCCACAATGCCAACAAATGTGTTTACACCCAGATCACAGTCATGGTGCAGACCCTGACTAGGCTGGAGCTGACCTACGACAAGAACCTGGTTCTGGTGACGCGTCGGGAGTATATCAAGGTGCAGCTTCAACTCGAGGAGTGCGAGAGACGACACCAGGAGCTTTTCAACCCGAACATTGGTAAGCTCACTCCTTATGATATTCACATCTAAGTTTTTTTCGGACACTAATTTCCCCCCTCTCTTTCTCTGCAGGTTCTTGTGCACACACAGGTATCATCAAGGTCAGCAAGCCTGTTGTAAGCCAACTGAATGCCAATCTTAATGCAGGCTACAAATATGGAGGCTGGGGGAAAGACTCAAAGCCTGTTCCTGACAGAGAATCTATGTACTGGTACTCCGGGTACTCCAGTGCTTCCATTGTTGACATCAGGCTTTACACTAACTACAAGAACCTCCTTTTGAGAAACCAATTTCATCTTCCGTGACAACACTCTCTATTATCAGATCAACAACCCGTTTGGGTTGGCCAAACTGAATTTCACCACAGGGAAATATGAGTCCAAGGTTATTCCTAGAGCCAGCAGCAGGTTCTCCTACACCAACTCCCTCAATCAGAACTTTGACTTTGCGGCTGATGAAAGCGGCCTGTGGGTGACCTATGCCAATGAGGAGTCCGCTGGTCGTATGGTCATTGCTAAAATAAACGAGCTTTCTTTTGGGGTTGAGGAGGAATGGCAGACTAGTGTCTATAAACCAGGCGTGAGCAATGCCTTCATGGTGTGTGGCGTTCTGTATGCAGTCAAAACAGTTGATATCAAAACCGAAGAGATATTTTACAAGTACGACACCAAAACCAAACAAGAGAGCTACGTCAGTGTTCCCTTTGAACGTTTCCAGGATAAGTATTCCAACCTGGACTTCAATCCCACTGACCAGAAGCTGTACATGTACAATGATGGTTACTATGTTAACTACCACCTGTGGTTTAACTACACCACTAAAGCCACAGTGGAACCACCACTTATTTTGTCCTAAATCTGTATCTGTGACTTTAGCAGTGATTATATCTCTAGTTTTCCTCTTGAAGTTCATAAAGTGCATTAATTAAACTTCTTGATTTATAATAAATTATCTCAAGCATTGCAAATGTGTCAAGTGTTTCCTTGTTCAGATGTGATGAGTAGAGTGTTTTTTATATTTATACTCTCTTCACCCACTCATTCTATACCTTCAAACTGAATTATAGTCAATAGGTGAAGGATCATCTAACTGTTGTTATTGTCCTTTATATTTGTTTTTTTGACACTGAAGGAGTGTAAAAATGCCCAACAGATTTATAATGATACATCACACATTATATATCTGTTTTCCCATTTACTTGATAAGCAGTAGAAAATAATAACTACATACAAAGGAATTCATCTATTTCCACTATTATTAGATTTTGTTTGGCATATTCTGTGTATTACACTTGATTTGAAATGCTGGATTGCAGGATCAATTAATGAGGTTTCTTAGTAGTTCTAATGTGTGTACAAACTACCAATGTTGGCTCAATGGGTGATGCAACCTAATACATACATATTTGGAAGTGACAGACCTGTGCAATTGATTGTTTTCACTTCTTTTTTTTAATACTGTACATCTGTTTTAGTGAGCCAGGCAAGGTAGACAAAAAAATAATAAAATATATATAGTAAAAGCATTGATGTTTAAATTATCATATTAATTATCAAATTAAAGTTACTGATGGCTGAATTATTTAGCAGCCTCAAATTCAGGGTCACTGTCCCAACTGCAACCCTTGAATAGAACAGAGTCATCGTTATTGCTATTAGTAACACTAGTCTTTTTTCTACCATGACAAGTTAAAGGTGGAGTAGGTAATTTTGGAGAAACCAGCACGAGTGCGCTAGAATTTGAACAGAGACAGCTGGAAAAAATCTGCCACTTCCTTACAGAACCCCTCCTCCAACACACACGAATGCGCACATGACCAATGAGGGCACGAGATAAGTTTGTGCACAGATGGAAGGCTGACAGGCAGGTAGGCCATCCAGTTACTTTAGCCGGGCCGGCTAAAATGATTGGTCGTGCTTTTTACAGTACTACGGCTTCCACAGATGACATTTTTGTATGGATTTTTTGTCAAAGCACTTAAAATATTCATTGCTATCGGGATGTAAAGAGCATTCCATGGAATATAACAAAAAGTGTATCTCGAGCCGGTTTCTCAAACTTACCTACCCCGCCTTTAATGTCTGCTTTTTAGCAGATAATAACAAATATCCCAACAAGATTAATAAAGGACAACAATTTAATACTCTAATCATGTACGTTTTGCACCTCACTATGACAACAATCCAATGGGAGAGTGAAACTGCAATGGACAGCAGAAATAATATGCATCAGCAGCTCATTAGTTAAGGTTAATTTGTTTCCTTAAGTTGGTCAAGGATGATACAATGAAATAAAAAAGTCTACATTGTAATGATGTTAATCATTAACCATGGCTCTGTAACCTGTAATTCTCACAGTGAGCTATTCCAGTGAGACGGCATGCAATGAAACAGGGACAAGCACACCTGAAGGAAATGCACCCATAATTAATTAATCAATCAGACCTGTGCTGTAGAGGCAGACTGAGGGGGACACGCAGCAGTTATATTCAGTGTTTGGGGAGGGACCACCCACTGTGATTACATGATAGTTCAATTCCTTTGTTAATTGAATTGAAACGTTTAAACCGTTGATTCCACTACAGCTGAAAACCGATAGATTTGAAGAATAAAGTGGTCGCCATCAATACAGGCAACACCAGAACTCTAGCAGCAGCACTTTATTTATTTGTTTCTTTTTTTTCTTTTCCTTCTTATTTACTTTGATTCTCTTAGACTTGTTTCATTTGGTTTGTAACACACTGGTTTTTACTAACATAACAGTTCAGGTATTGTTTGATCATTTTGTTGATGGGGGGAATGATAATGTCTGCATTGTGTTCTTAATGTTTGCACAATATGAAGAATGACCACGTAAAATAAATGGTATGTCATTTGGTGTCCAAGGAGGACAGGAATGATTATACCGGATGTACAACAGGTGCAGTCATGTAAATCTTGATGAAAAAAAACGTCTTTGACTCCAAATTGTTGCACTTGATAGGTTCAATTTTACGGTATCATGTTGGATAAAAACGCCAGCTATACAACATACAGTTGCAAGAAAAAGTGAACCCTTTGGAATTACCTGGATTTCTGCATAAGTTGGTCATAAAATGTGTTCTGATCTTCATCTAAGTCACAACAATAGACAAACACAGTCTGCTTAAACTAATACCACACAAACAATTATATGTTTTCATGTTTTTATTGAACACACCATGTAAACATTCACAGTGCAGGGTGGAAAAAGTATGTGAACCCCTAGGCTAAAGACTTCTTCAAGAGCTAATTGGAGTCAGGAGTCAGCCAACCTGGAGTCCAATCAATGAGACGAGATTGGAGGTGTTGGTTAAAGCTGCCCTGCCCTATAACAAATACACACCAGTTTTGAATGTGCTATTCTTAAGAAGCATTGCCAGATGTGAACCATGCCTCGCACAAAAGAGCTCTCAGAAGACCTACGATTAAGAATTGTTGACTTGCATAAAGCTGGAAAGGGTTACAAAAGTATCTCTAAAAGCCTTGATGTTCATCAGTCAGTAAGACAAATGGTCTATAAATGGAGAAAGTTCAGCACTGTTGCTACTCTCCCTAGGAGTGGCCGTCCTGTAAAGATGACTGCAAGAGCACAGCGCAGAATGCTCAATGAGGTGAAGAAGAATCCTAGAGTGTCAGCTAGAGACTTAAAGAAATCTCTGGCACATGCTAACATCTCTGTTGACGAATCTACGATACGTAAAACACTGAACAAGAATGGAGTTCATGGGAGGACACCACGGAGGAAGCCACTGCTGTCCAGAAAAAACATTGCTGCACGTTTGAAGTTTGCAAAAGAGCACCTGGATGTTCCACAGCACTACTGGCAACATATTCTGTGGACAGATGAAACCAAAGTTGAGTTGTTTGGAAGGAACACACAACGCTATGTGTGGAGAATCCAAAGGGTTCACATACTTTTTCTTGCAACTGTATGTGTTATGTAATAATAATAGTCATAACTGCAAACAATCTCTTTCCAGGAGTTTAAGTCAGCATTTTACTAAAAGTTTTTCCATTATGGCACAGTGTCTCCTTCTCATGAACTACGCTGATTAAAAGCACCACACAAGTCACATGCATACGATTATGCAATTTACAATGTGGAGTAAACTATACAAAGAAGCAATTTGATTATTTCATTCACAACACAGTGAGAACAGACTTTTAGGGTAATGACTATACAAACAAACACGACCTGTTAAGCAGGATATATCATAAATGATGCAATTATATTAAACAGCCTGACACAGTGTGTGCCTGAGGATATGATGACCCCTATCTAACACTTGCGACATTCACCTAACAGGCCATAAAGATTATGAGGTTCAACAAATGGCATTTTTATCATCCACACCCCAATGTTCTGATCAAACCTGACTTCTTCCTCAAATGTTATTGTGAGCAAACAAGGATAAGGCCATTAATCCTGGGCTGCTTGTGAATGAACAGCTGGTCTTGTGTTGAAGTTCCGGGCAGCTCAATTAACAACTATGGGAAGAGAGAAGGTGTTGGTGATGATGTGATAAGAGCTGTCCTTAAAAGCGTGGAATAAGGCTGCAGAGGAGACACTTGAGAGGTAAACTGAGACAAGATGCTTCCAATTCTGCTGCTGCTGCTCAGTCCTGCTTCGGCCTGGATTGTAAGTGAACTTTCTTTAACATTTGCAGGAGGTATGGGTCATTTATTATAATCAACTTTAACGGCAATATCTTTACTTTTTGATTATCAGCCCGTGCATGAATGGGAGTCCGGCAATGTGACTGCTTCAGTGGGTGAGTCAGGTCAGTGTGTTTGTCACGTGTATCTGCCCGAAATCACCTTCCCTGCAGACCGGGTTGAGCACATGCAGCAAGTCAGCCATGATCTGATCCTGGAGGTGGACATTCAGATGAACAAGGTGCAGTAAGATTGATTAATACGGTAATCTTCCAAGCATTTTCTATATATTTTGGTGACATCTTCATGCTGATTTCCCATTCTTCACTCTTTCAGATGATAAGCTATGTGGGTACGTTGGAGGGCTACTTGAAGGAACTGTCAGACTTGACTGTGAGAGTGTCCATGCTGGAGAGCAGTGCTGACAAATACATCAAACTGGACTTTGAGCTGCTCAGGATTGAGCTCAGAGAGTTTGAAGTTCTGGTGTCTCAGCTCAAAGACTCCCTCAACTCCACCTCTCCCATGTTTGACAGTCTGTATATTGAGGTAAAAGAGCTATTTACTTATAACTTTTAATTAACATAGATTTCTTCTTTATTAGAATAACACATTTACACTTGTTTTTTCCCAGATCTGTAACATGACCCTCATTGTGAACCAATTGGAGACGTTCGACAAGAGCAACCTGGAGGTGATCCGCCTTGAGTTCGCTAAGCTGCAGAAGAAGCTGGAGGAGTGCCAGAAGGACCATGATGTAATCAAGACAGATATTCGTAAGTCAACTATTCAACTGATGGTGGATAACAGATCAGAAAAATGTTGGCCTTTCACATATGGAGATTTCCTGCTTTTCTCTGTTTTGTATCAAATTAAACATCTTTGAGTTTCGGACTGACGTATCAAGACATTTAGAGACATCCCCTTGGACTTGGAGGAACTGGGATGAACTTTCTTTACTATTTTTGACATTTTTAAGACCAAACAATTGACCTAGAAAATATTTGGAAGAGCATATAACCGTTATTTTCAGCTACATTGTAAGGGTTAAAAATAATAATTAACTTTTTTCTTTCTTCTTTCCAGGCAACTGCAACCGCACAGGAATCATGAGCATTGGCAAGCCAATGGTGGTCCAACTGAATTCTCATTTGAATGCAGGTTATCAATATGGGGGCT